ACTGTAAGTCAGCGAGTAGGCTGTGTGTTGAGCTATAAATAACCTATTAAATAGGAAACTTGGATTGCACGCTCGCACCATCAATACATTCATGAGTATCAGGTATTCTATAAACTTTGCTAGGATAATCGATCACTGTATAACCTTTTCCTGCCATCCGAATTATATATTGAGAATGGATCTCTTCAGGTTGGTATGCCTCTAAAAGTGCTGTTTCGTTTTTATCAGAAGAGCTGGCATGGCCATTAGATGCAAGCCAGTATTTATAATATGTATGTTCTTTATGACCAGCTTTATAATCAAGTTTCATTAAAACTGTAAAAAGCTTTTTTGCCTCATTATATTCAATGGATTTTTGATTTAGGCACTGTTGTTGTAATGATTCACATAAACGTTTTTTTGATTCACTAGATAGACTCATTTTTATTGATTTGTATATATGCGTTGTTTGATCTGACAAAAAGTATATGTAGTAATATATGTATTATTATTTTGAAACTATAATAATTAATAGATAAATCTTTAAAATAAAATTAATTATTCCAAAAATTTCAGCAACCAAGTTTGCCCAAATAATATAAATTTGATTGAAGTAATTATTATATACAAAAACAATAAAACCAAATGGCATTCTATCATTGCCAATATATTCACAGAACTGGAAAAATCTGTGGTCGAGGATGTTATATTCATTGTAAATCTCCAGTACGTACTCCTTGTAGAGATTGTGGTGAGCTAAATAGTTCTATACATAATGCATGCTATAAACATGTAGGCAAATATCAAAGTAGAGAGAATTATCGCAGAAAAAAGCAGGATGAATTACGTGCAAAAATTGTTATGTTTGAGAATCTGCCTGACTTATCTAATTCTGGGTATGAATAGAAAGTTATAAAACTAGGGGAAATATCTTGATATATAAGGAATAACTCACCTTACTATAGGCCATTTTTCGCTGGCTTCGAGCATATATGCAAGAAGGTGGGAATGCGGTAAGCTAACATATTCTACATATGGTGCATGCTGGAATCATGCAAGTAAGTATCGAAAAAGAGAATATTATCATCAAAAAAAAGCAGGCTGAATTACATGCAAAAATTGTTATGCTTGAGAATCATATACCTGACTTGTCCGATTCTAGACATGAAGTATAATCATGCGCTTGGCATATATTAATTATTTTTTCCAAGACCTCTTTATAAAGCTATGGATTCCAAGACTTTTGATCAAATTTGTGTCTTGTTCATGTCCATTTTCTGACAGAATTACAATAACTGCGACTCATTCAATTTTGGGTAAATATTAGATATTCTGACCCGAGATAATTAATTTTCAATTTGAAAAAATAAGTAGGTTAATGTACAATCACAATCTACTTATCGATATATATCTATCATGGCAACTCTCCGAAAAACTAGAAAACCCAAAACTAATAGCTTTACCTCCATTTTGGATCAGATCCTCAATAAATATAACCTATTGGCCAAATCAAACCCACTTCAATTATGTGATCATGCCGATGAGTTTGGTACTATGCTACCAGATTGGAAGGCTCGTAAAGATGTGAAAGAAGCTCTTCGCCAGTGCCTATTCAAAGACAATCAAATAGAAGCTCTTGTACCAGACAAAAGGGGGGAAACTTACTATCAAGGAAAGAGCTCATGAGACCCTCTGAAGTTACTACTCTACGTATTATCCATAGTGAACCTGATGAACCAGACCCTCTGAAATGGTACAAACCTAGTTATTCTTGATATTGTACAGGATTTATTAAGAATAAGGGAGAAAAGGAGGTTAATCCTGAGCCCCAACAATTTCTTTCCATGGAAAAAAATCCAGAACGCACAAAAGAATTGCTTACTTGGATTCAAGATGCAATAGCAACCAGAAAGTTATGTGATCCTGTATATAGTGATAATGGAAAACGCAATATTAGAGCATTTAGCAAATTTTTAAATCCATATGGTATTACTGCCAAAAGATTGAGAAAAATAGGGAGTAAACATGCTTCTAAAGTTCATGGTAGTCAAAATCCAACGGCCCAACATCTTAGTTTACTTTGTAGAATTGCAATGAGACATAAGATCGACCGTTTTGATTCTGGAACTTATTATGCTGAGGGTGACACTTTTCTGATTCCGATACCAATCCTGATACTAATACTGAACCCGAACCTAAATCTCAGCCTAAGAATTATAATCCTTTTGATGTCCAAATCACAGAAATAGATTCTATGTTAGCAGAAATGCGAAGTTAGATTATTAGTATTGGTTCCAGTGGAATCTCTTCTCAAGATGGGATAGAACTTGCCTTAAAAGTTCATCTGATGGGGTGCTTGCCCCAGAATTTGTTTGCAAATTATAATGCACACATGTTTTTCATCCATATATATACTGGATAAATGTTTGATTTTTTACCAAGAAATCATGCTTTGCATCATATCCATACCAAGTCATTCTACGCTTTCACAGTTACTATTTGGATTGAATTCTGACAGGCCCCCCAACATTTGAGATGATAAGTTTCTGTATTGACATAATCACCACTACCGCATTGTCCATTTATATTATTCCTTATATTATCTTTTTCATGGTCTTTATTGCATATAGGACAGGGCACTGAACTATTAAAATTTGAAATATCTTAGTTTGAAGGGATGTAAAAGGGATTACTGAAGAAGTAATGAAAAAACTTAATCCTAAAATTAAAATTGAACATCCTGATTTTTCAGATAATGAATGATCCAATTCTGATCTACCTCTACATATTCCAATCTTTACCGGTGGACGAAATGAGATAGTTATAACCAGGTCCTTTAGAGACCACTCTTTGAGTCATATATCAGATGAAACAGATTTTATTTCTGCAATTAGTAATTATCTCAGAGAGAATCCTCCAATGAAGGTAATAATTAATTACATTTATAAGCAAAGAATGGGAAATTAAGCATTTGCCAGCCTCCGGCTAATTATTAGTTATTTTTTCGGTTGAATATATATATCACATAATATAACTTACCATGAAAGTAAAGATAGTTAAAGCTAAAGTAGGGGAACAAAAAGTTAATTGTCACCTCAAACCAGGATTTCTTGGTCCATCTATGTATATTAATTGCAGAAAAGCTAAATTACAATTAAATTAAAATCATGTGTGCTTGTTGCAGGGTAAATCATCCGAGATCGTCCATAGAGAATAAATTAATCCCATTCATGACAAATATTGCCCCAAAATTACTGATTTATTGATTGTAGTGTTTTGCATCTTTAAAAGATTGATCCATTGAAACTACTTACATTATAAAACATGTGTTATTAGAATGAGTGGTTTAACTTACTATTACAAAATAAATATTGGATATAATCCGTACGTAGTATTATGGTCATTGCTAACCTTAAAGCCCTTGCATATAATATCTTGAAAGAATTCAAAGATCCCATTGTCAGTGGTAAGGATTTATCAGAGTTGAACTGTTCAGAATGTGACAAGAAAATTATTTCGTCTCCTCATATCAAATATTTCACAACATTGAAATGTGGACATACATTTCATAGACTTTGTCTCAAAAAAAAGATTTTACTTGCTTATCCGAATGTATGTCCTTATCCCAATTGCAATGAAAAACTTGACCTAATAGAATTTCCTAGGTGTGATTCTGAGTCAAGTGGAATGTCCTCAATAGCTGGCAATCTAGAAAAAAACTAGGAATTAGTTCTCTTGATACGGTGGACAAAATTATGGAAGAAGATGATGAGGAAGATGATTCAGCTTTGCAATCAACTGATCCCAAATCCAATACTGTCACTACTGCTACCACTAATCCTGATACAATCGCTAATACATCATCTGCAAGCATCTTACCATCCAAGCATGTTGGGGATCCTACATCTGCTGATAAGCCCACCAGTAAAAAAGCCAAGAAGCAGAGTAAGAAGGAAGAATCTCCTACATTGAAAAAGCTTATTGAAGAATTGACAACTACTGCACCTGAAAATTTCGAGAAAATAATAGAAGTTGGTGAAAATACCAATAATTTTTTATACCATTATAGCAAAATTACACATGCCGAATCTAAAAGTGAAATAGCAAATGGAGAAGTTATTGAATGTTACTTCAATTTTGGTGCAGTTTTAAAAAAATGACTTGATTATTACAAAAATTTGAATCATGGGAAACATGCGTGTTTGGCTCTTGTTAATGATGAACTTTGAAAACAACTCCCTGATGATATTACCAATGATGCATTAAAAAAAAAGAAAGGAAAGAGCAGGAAAAATATATGACCTATTCGTTAGTATTGGTAAAGAAAAAATAAGAGGTATAAAAACGTTTTCTGCCTCAACAATTTCAAACTTAAGTCAAGATAATATAGATTATGTAATTGTTAAAATTTTAGCTCAAAAAGCTGTGGCATAGCCACTAAAAAAAGATGGTAATTTTCATTAAGATGTACACTTATCTTAATAATAAACCATACTATTTTATCGAAATCAAGCTATTTCTGTAAATGATTCCTTACTGCGCCAGTGACATGCATGTCATGTCTAAATCTCCATTTTTCCATCTCGTTTTATATAACATTATTATTCTACAGCTTTTTGCGATTCCCCATAAACATTTTACTAATCTTATACCTTCGAAATTTATTGACTGAACCTCCAGGAATACGAGTCTATAATTGCATTCTAACTTCCTTGACATTCTTAAAGTAAATAAGCATGTACTTAACAGGAGGGAACGTCCTATATAAGGAATGGATTTTCACAATTGATTTCAATTTTTTTTATACAGTTTAAAAT